CAACAACATTTTCCGTTGTGAAACCCCACAGAATTGATACTGTGCTGCCAGGATCAATCCTGACTGTGTCTGCCAGCTGCCAAAAAACCGGTTAGACGCGTTAAGTTCAGAAAACCTATTGTCTGATGCTTTCTCACTGATTAAATAAATGAGTTGTATTGACCCAGCATGTTGTAATAGTTGAAAGATTATAAATTAATTGCATATACTCTATCCCACATGTAGACGTCTGAATAGCTACCATGGTACAAGCAAGAAGAGATTTTAGAAAGCTAAAACCATTGGCTTTTCTCATACCCTCTCCCTTCTTTTCACTTTTTCTCAGTTCATCTTGGGTAGAAGATGTGTGATCAGACCTTTCTTGCTAATGTATTTGGCTCATGTGACAAATGTTTCAAACAAAGAGCTCTGAGACCAGTTTTCAAGAAATCTCAACAACTCAGCTACTGTTCAACATGTGCAGAAATCGTAAGTGCCACTTTAAAAAAAAATTTAGTTATCTGTCTTAAAACAGTCAAGCGAGAGTCCTGTGACAGATGAGTTCCCATAGAATCAGTTTCTATAACACACACTTTTCAGTATGCCTAGGCTTAGCGAGGCAGTATAGCATAGAGGTTCAGGATGTGGACGCTAGTGTCTGACTGCCTGGGTCCAAATCCTATTTATGTTCCTAGTTAGTGGTGTGCAAGGAGGTTCTCACCTTTCTCCTGAAGCCTGTTTTCCCATCTACAAATAGAAATATTAATAACACCTACATCATAAGAGTTTTATGAGGATCACATGAGTTCATCTGATAACTTATTTTAAATAGTACCCAGCAAGCAAAGTGCTCAATGAATGTTTTAGCTTCTATTCTTTCTTAGGGCTAATACTTTTTTCTTCTGACTTCTACAAGTCTGCTTGGCAGGCAATCAAGCTAAAAGAGAAGCTGGCAAATAAACAGTCTGGGAGCATCTTTCCAAGGACAGGTCCCAGTGGTGTGTGGGTCCAGCTCTAATGGAGATGGAATCTTACAGGGCCTCAGTAGTGAGCAAAATTCAGCTCAGAAGTACTCTTTCGGCCTAAGCCTTCAACAAAGACTAGGAATGGAATACAAATCCTGGAATTTTCAAAGTACACAAAATCAAGTCCGCACCAGAGGTGGCTATGCACAGGCTTCAGATCTTGCAGCAAAAATGCCCACAGCATCACTGAAGCCCTAAGAATTAGTCCTATCTCAGAGAATTTGCAAAGCTGCGCTCAATAGTGCAGCTGAGCAGAGCCCCCACTTGGTGAAAAGTGGTAAAGCACTCCTCCTGAAAAGCCCAGCAGGAAATCCTCACATATTTAAAACAACAAAATCTGTAATACAATCAGAGAGAGGAATACATTTTATCCAACTGAAAAAGAAAGGGCGCTTTTTATCCTTCTGATTTCATTGTAACCCCTGACAGTGATTACATTCAAAATTACTCCCTTAAAGCAAATAGCAAGTAAACAGCCTAGGGTGGCATAAAAACGCTTTGATACAGCATAGCAGTTTGGATGCGTCTTCAGTCTAGGTGTAACGGGCTTCTACCTGTAGTATATTTCTACAGTCTATGTTCTAACTTGGCTCTGCGAATTGTAGAACTGAGGACATTTAGTTCTTAAAAACAAACCTGCTTTCTGGGGGCCTTACCCCCCTCCCCATTATTTATTAATCTAACTCTTCTGCTTTTTAAACAACTTCCTCTGCAAAATCCCAGATTTTGAGTCCTCTGTGGCACATAGGTTCTCCCAGGCACAGGGGCCATGCCTGGAGATACTCTTCTAGGGAACAGTTGACGGCTAGCGCTACTATTAGGTTGGTGCAAAAGTAATTGTGGTTTTTGCCATTGCTTTCAATTGAAGCAATGGTGCGAGCTCGGCTCATTGTAACCTCTGGCTCCAGGGTTCAAGCGATTCTCATGCCTCAGCCTCCTGAGTAGCTGAGGTTACAGGCACACACCACCACGCCTAGCTAATTTTTGTAGTTCTAGTAGAGAGAGGGTTTCACCATATTGGCCAGGCTGGTTTTGAACTCCTGACCTCAGGTGATACACCCATCTTGGCCTCCCAAAGTATTGGGATTACAGGTGTGAACCACCGTGCCCAGCCCACACCATCTTACTTAATTCTCATAACAATTCTCATTGCTTTCAATTGAAAGCAATGGCAAAAACCACAATTACTTTAATACAATCTCTACTCTCTACTTGGGGGTTCCCAAATATTCAGACAGCATCATTCAGCTGAGGAGACATGCAGTGACTGACAGCTGGCCTTTCATTCAAGTGTTTGGGATGATATAGACGCAGTCCCCATTGGGCCCTTTTCATGAATAGGAGTGACCCCTTTATCTCAACCACTGTGGAATGTAGCTGACCTCACTTTTCTGCTATCTGGCTTCCTCAGCGGGAGTGAACACCAAAATACAAGAAGGGAGTGAACACCAAAATACAAGATAGCACTTGGCAAACTGCCCAACCATTAAAAGTTTGATGGCCTTATATCTAGATAGTTGATTCTCCAGGTTGGCGGCTGTTTGAGGTTTATTTTACAGAAAGAACCCCCAGAAGACGGCACACACCAGTGAGAAGTACCACGTGCCTCAGATCTTCACAGCCAGAAGGACCCTGAACCACACACACACATCCTGCAACGGTCCAGAGCCAGCCTAAGGAGGTGATGAGACGAGGCGGCCTTGCCTGAGCCCCCCGAGATGGCCCTTGTGAAAAGTATCCCCCATGACCCAGTGTCTCATTTAAATTACCTCATGTGAACTGCTCAAGTGTCTCAGGCAGCCTCAGTAATAATAACAGATGCATATTGTGTGCCACGCACTGCTCTCTCCGAATGCCATCCAGAGTCTGGAGGAGGCGTTGTCTCCCGATTACAGATGAGCCCGAGACACAGACAGGTAAATCCCTCAGGCCACATGGCAGAGCCAGGATTTGCCCCCAGGCAGTCAGATCTAGACAGAGCCTGTGCTCTTAACCTTTTGCTCTACAAACTCTCAAACAGGTGTAATATTTTTGCTTTTAAATTTTTACATTCTTATCTTATACTTAAATAATTGTATTTATATGTTTATCCATTTATAAACATGTTTATGTTATACGTTTATATTTTTAACATAGTTTATACAGATTTATATATTTTATATATTGTTTTATACATCAATTTAATAAACTAGCATTAACTGAGCACCTACCATATGCAAGTACTATGCTAAATACTTAAATACTGAGGAACAACGACAAATAAATCTATTAATATATGGATGGGAACGGAAAAGAGAACTAGCAGAGAATAAGCATCTGCTATGTACGGAGAAGTGTGCTAAAGTATTCACCCACACTATCTTTTTGTTTTTTTGAGTCTCACTCTGTTGCCCAGGCTGGAGTGCAGTGGCATGATCTTGGCTCACTGCAACCTCTGACTCCAGGGTTCAAGTGATTCTCGTGCCTCAGCCTCCTGAGTAGCTGAGGTTACAGGCATGTACCACCACACCCGGCGACTTTTTGTATTTTTAGTAGAGAGAGGGTTTCACCATGTTGGCCAGGCTGGTTTCGAACTCCTGACCTCAGGTGATCCACCCACCTTGGCCTCCCAAAGTATTGGGATTACAGGTGTGAACCACCGCGCCCGGCCCACACCATCTTACTTAATTCTCATAACAATCCTATGAAGCAGATCCTATGAAGAAGCTTTTCCAGATAAGGAAACTGAGGATCTCAGACTCTAACCTGCAAAACAAGTACGTACAGATTAATATCAAGTACCTTCAACTTTTCTCAGATAGAGAGGGCCCGGGGCAGTAAGTGCAGGCTGGCTCCTCTGGGAGGGAGCAGGTACAGAGAGGTGGGGACAGCACCCAAGATTCTGCTTAGTGATGTTCCCACAGAATTTGTAACTTTGATCTGCCTTCTCGTTCTCTGCACAAACGCATGCAAGATCACAGAAGAGGCAAAAAGGAGAAGGCTTGAGTTGGATCAGCCACACCAAAGTCCAGAGGACTATGGAGCCAGCCTGTCTGGGTCCAAATCCTGTCTCTCCCTCCTTCTTGGAGCGTGCCCCCTGAGTAATCACTCAAGTCTTTCTGTGCCTCAGTTTCCTCTTCTGTAAAGTGGGGATAAGAGTGCCCATTCAAGGTGACTCCTGCGGAGGATTAAACAAATGCGAATTAAAGCAATTAGAACAGTGCCCTCACACTTCAGGCGCTTGGGGCGAGGGGATGCTTCGGTCTGACAGAAGTCACTAAATGTGCATCCTGGTAGAACTGTGCCAGCCCTTCATTCTAAAGGGCTGGAGGTGGCCTCAGAAGTGAGGGGTCCCAGATGCCTGGGCGTGGGCTCAGAAGCCCCAGGTCTGAGCCCGCGCGCCCACCGACCCACGGCCCATCTCCTTTTGCCGCCCCCAGGCCAGGGACTTGATTCCTGCGTGAAGAAAAGAAAAGCTAAGGGTGGGCCTCCTAATGCCTCAGAGACTCCGTCTCAGAACCCAGCAACTAGTTTTATTTTTGTATATTTAGATTAACAAACGAAGAGGGTTTCCTGTTCCTTGTCGGGGGAGCACCATAGCTACCTGCGGCCAAGCCTCGTAGCCGTCTCCTCTCACGTCCTCTCTCTGCCTGCAGGAGCCACGGGCCCGCAGCCCGCAATCAAGTCCCACAGAGCGGAGATCTGCACGAGAGGCGTGGGGATGGGAGGGCCGTGTCGCGGGAGCCTCACCGGTCTCCCCAGAAGCGGGGAGTCCCGAGGTGGAATCCGGCTTGGCCCTTCCCTCTGTGTGCGTTCTCGGGCAAATCACCCAGCATTCCTGAGCCTCAGTTTGCCCGCCGGTAAAATGGGCCTGACACTCCCTGCCTCTCCGGGGTAGTGTGCGCGGCAACGCTGACGCGGACATCGCACTGGGCACTGCGCCAGAGCGCGCGCCCAGGTGCCGGGGTCTGGGGGCTCAGGCGCAGCAGCCGGGCCCGCAGCTGCTGGCGTCATCACGGAGGGCGGGACCGTGGGGCGGCGCTCCGGGCCAGGGACGGCAGCTGGAGCGGCGCCCACCGCGGCTCAGCGCATCCCCGCTCTCCGCTTCCCTCCCCGCCGCGTCCCCGCGCGAAGATGGCAACCGAAGCGCTGCACGAGAACGAGACGCTGGCGTCGCTGAAGAGCGAGGCCGAAAGCCTCAAGGGCAAGCTGGAGGAGGAGCGGGCCAAGCTGCACGACGTGGAGCGTGAGTGCGGGATGGGAGGCGGGCGGGGCAAGCCGGACTCGCTCGCGACTTCCCTGGCGGGGGCGGCCGGGGCTGCGACGGGAGCCAGGCCCGCGGCACCTCCCGGGAGCAGGGCCCCAGGGCCCGGGCGCGCAGGTGAGCCGCGGGTAGCGGTCCCGAGCCCCGGGGCGCGCGGGCGTGGGGCCCTCGGTGGGTCCGGGCACCTGCGAGACCCCCGCCGCCAGCTATCGGAGGACTGCGGGACTTGCTAACCTCATCACCTGCCTGGAAGCTGCGAACTGTTCGCGTTCTTGCCCCTCCCATGCGGAGGGCAAGAGGTGGGGTGTCGGTGGTGACGAGCGAGCGCGGCGAGCCCGTGTGGGCGCGGCCTGGGAGAGACTCCTGTTTTGTTTTTTAATGATCATCTGGCTTTCTCCATCACTGTTTTGTCTTTTCTCAGTTTTGCTTTTATGAGACTGCAATTTCAAAGCTCATTTTTCCAGCCTCTCCCCTATCCTTGGGGGCGGGAAGCTGGATGACTGGGAGAGAAGGGAAGCGGAGGAGCTCACCAAATTCAACCTTTCAGTTCATTTAAGGCTGTTTAAGAAGCTTTTGGATCGATATGGTGGATTGGCATAAAAGAGCCATAGCAATCTTAAACTTGCATTCTTCACCACCACCACCGTAATTCAGAACTGGCTCTGTGATTTTTATGAGTGAGTGATTAGATTAAATAGCCAGGTTCAGTGACTCTTGGCCAGAACAACCTTCCTTTACTTTGTCAGAGGGCTCCTCCTCAGCAGAGCTTGGGCTGGAGACCAGGCTTGGGGAAGTGGTAGTATCTGCTCACTTTTCAGCTCCGAGGGTGGCAGCTCCCCTTTGCTGAGCAAGGCCTCACACCGTGCCCTCACGCACACCTCGACGTTGTTCTCCTGCCGTTCCTAATCGGTGCCACCCTTTACATTCTATTTGGAATGGAAAAATGGGGTTCATGCTAGGGTCTTTAGCCTTTGATCTCTGAAGATGACTTAAGAGAAGTGGATGACCTGGATCTAGCGTGTGCTGTGCTTTCCTAGGAGTCTCCTTTAAATAGGAGGCACTCTAAGCTTAGAAATCGTGTCCAGCAATCACTAACCACAAACCCCAAATAATGTGCTTATGCAAATTGAGAGTTACTTTTCTTACATAACAAGAGCAAAGGTGGAAGATCACCTGCTTTTGTTCAGCTGCACCCCCCTACTCCCACCACCCCCCTATCAGGGACCCAGGTTCCTTCTGCCTTTCTTCTCCACACCTTAGAGCAGTGACATTTGCCCCATGATTATAATATGATTGCCACAGCTCCAGACATCACTTCTGTATCCAAGGCAGGAAGAAGGGGGAATATGGACACCAATCTCTCTTTGCTCCCTATCAAGAAAGCAAAGCAAAAGTTTTGCCAGAAATCCTCCTCCCAGTTTGAGACCAGCCTGGCCAACATGGTGAAAAGTATTCACAGGTCGTCTAACTTCTCCATTTGACAGATGAGGAAACTGAGGCACAAAGAAGTTAAAGGACTTACCGAAGGTCCCCTGCTGATAAGTGATGGGACCTGGATACCCCCCCAGGCAATCAGAGTGCCAGCTCAAGCTCACTTGAGATTTCTTTTGCCAAACCCCTTTGAGCTTCGTGCAGAGGGCGTTCTCCAGAAACTCACTTATTCAATAGTGCAGGCTGCACGCCTGGATAGTTTCAGCTTTTCTGTGAATTTGTAAGTTGCCTTAAGACAGAGAGAGAGCAGAGATGCAGCTTTTCAATAGGGAACCTCAGGGGGCAAATGTAGTCAATACAAAAGAGGAAACTTTTTTTTGTCTTGCCAAGAATGTGGTGCCCTCAAAAGCTAGGGCCAGATTTTAGACCCACAGTGGAAGGGTCTGTCCCTACCTGCATATGTCAGAATTTTGAGCTGGAAAGACCAGAAGTGATGTGGTTGTGTCCCTCTTGATTCCCCTGCAGCTTCCAGACCACGTCTCTTCCACCCCCCATAAAACCTTTGCTCTCTGAAGGTTCTTATCACTCTCTTGACCACTTCCCCTTTGACATGTCTCCTGATCTCCCAGCCAAGTTCTCTCATTTCTTTTCTTTTCTTTTCTTTTCTTTTTGAGACGGAGTCTCACTCTTGTTGCCCAGGCTGGAGTGCAATGGCACGATCTCAGCTCACTGCAACCTCTGCCTCCTGGGTTCAAGCAATTCTGCTTCAGCCTCCTGAGTAACTGGGATTACAGGCACGTGCTACCACGCCCAGCTAATTTTTGTACTTTTAGTAAAGACGGGGTTTCATCATGTTGGCCAGGCTGGTCTCAAACTCCTGACCTCAGGTGATCCGCCCGCTTCAGCCTCCCAAAGTGCTGGGATTACAGGCGTGAGCCACCGCTCCCGGCCATTTCTTTTCTTTTCTTTTCTTTTCTTTTTTTTGTGGGGAAGGGGGACAGAGTCTCGCTCCCTCGTGCCCAGGCTGGAGTGCAATGGTGCGGTCTTGGCTCACTGCACCTCCACCTCCCGGGTTCAAGGGATTCTCCTGCCTCAGCCTCCCAAGTAGCTGGGACTATAGGCATGTGCCACCACACCCAGGTAATTTTTGTATTTTTAGTAAGCTTCACCATGTTGGCCAGGCTGGTCTCGAACTCCTGACCTCAAGTGATATGCCCGCCTGAGCCTCCAAAAGTACTGGGATTACAGGTGTGAGCCACCGTACTCAGCCATTCTTTTCTTTATTCATCTTCTTTTCTTTTTTTTTAAGAGACAGGGTCTCAGCCAGGCAGGGTGGCTCACACCTGTAATCCCAGCACTTTGGGAGGCCAAGGCAGGTGGATCATGAGGTCAGGAGATCGAGACCATCCTGGCCAACGTGGTGAAACCCCGTCTCTAACAAAAATTAATTGGGCACAGTGGCAGGTGCCTGTAATCAGCTACTTGGGAGGCTGAGGCAGGAGAATAGCTTGAACCAGGTTCAAGCTTGGAAGTTGCAGTGAGCTGAGATCTTGCCACTGCACTCCAGCCTGGTGAAGTGAGACTCGTCTCAAAAAAAAGAAACAGAGAGAGAGACAGGATCTCACTCTGTCACCCAGGCTGCAGTGGAGTGGAGTTATAGCTCAGTGCAGCTTCAACCTCCTGGGCTCAAGCAGTCCTCCTGCCTCAGCCTCCCAGGTAACTGGGACTACAGGTACGTACTACTACACCTGGCTACTTTCGTTTCAGATTTCTTCGTAGAGACAGGATCTCACTATGTTGCCCAGGCGGGTCTTGAACTCCTGGCCTCAAATGATCCTACCGCCTTGGCCTCCTAAAGTGCTGGGATTATAGGCATGAGCCACCGTGTGCCTAGCCAGGTTCTCTCACTTCTTAAGGACTTTGGCATTTCTTTGGACTGTGGCTTGAGTCTTCCTCTTGCCCCTAAGCCCTGCCCCATCCTGTGAGATGACACGCAGGCCCCTCATCTTCACAACCCCTGCTGCACGCATGCCTGGGTTCTTGTCAGCACTCAGGACTGCTCCTCTTCCCACATCTCCAATCACTGCCTCCACCTCCAAGCATACTCTCTCCCTGGGGAGATCTCCTTCCTCCAGGATCCTAGCTCCTCTCTTCCAGTCTCTCAGCCCCTTCCTTTCTTCTCTTCCTTCAGTATCCAGTGTTGAGACGTTGGCCACCATTTCAGCAACCGTCTTGCCAAGCAATCCAAATTTCCTTGTCCTTCTGTCTCTTCATGGGAGCTGCCTGGCAGAACCTCAGCCTGGATGAATCTGCTGTCCCCTCTCTCTCGTGCCTGCAGCTGAACAACAGATGCTGCTGTAGAAGCGGCACACAGGAGGCTCGCTGAGACCACTGTCAGTCCCACAGTCACTAGTTCACCAAGGCTCTCAGAGCTGGCTGGAGTTTCTCTGGTCAGCTCTTCACAGTGAAAATTTTAGACTCTCTCTATGTGGCATGGGTCTCTGACTCCTCCCCTTCCGCCTGGACTCCTTCTCCACAGAAATGGAAGCTCTAAACTGATCCCTCCATGTCACACTTCCAAACCCACCTCCACATGCAGTGACCTCAAACCTGTCCCTGTCATGGCTTTGTCAGTTCCCTCCCACCACCAGGCGTGAGATCCCATCATCTCCAGCCTTCAGTCAGCTTGACCTAGGGGTTATTCCTGTCTCCACCCCTCTGTGGACATGTACACACACCCAAGCCTGTCACTCATTCAACACATTCTGCCAGCCCATTGTATGTCAGGCACTGTTCTCAGCCCTGGGGGATACTGAGGTGAACAAGTCAGCCCAGCATCCCTCCCTGGCAGAGCTTCCATTCCATTGCGGGAGTGGCACGCTAGGTGACATGCTAGATGACACGCGTTAGGGAGAAAAGAACTAAAGCAGACAGCGGGAAATGAGGTGTGGGGGAGCAGAAGCTTTCGAGAAGGTAGCCCAGGGAAGCCTCATTGAGAAGGGCCTTTGAATCCAGACCCGAAGGAAGAGAACCAGCACCGTGACTACCATCTGGAGAGCAAGCTTCAAGCAAAAGGAGGAGCTAGGCAGAGGCCCTGGGAGGGGCTGTGTTTGGCATAGCTGATGTATCTGAGGAAGAGCGAGGAGGCAGGTGTGTCTGGAGGGGAGTGTGCAGGGCAGAATCCAGCTGCAGGTTATGCTGGGGGCTCATGCAGGACCCTGTGGGCACAGTGAAGATTTGGGTTCTTATTCCCAGTGAGTCGGGAAGCCCTTGGAGGGTTTCTAGAGAGAGGATGGATCTGATTGCTTTACTGGGCTCACTCTGCCTGTCATGTTCTGTGGCAGAACAAGACAGCTTGAGGGAGGGAAATAAAGTGTGAGAGCTATGTGACCTGGGGTAAGAATTCTTGACAAATATCTCTTTCCCTCTTATCAGAGAGCCTGCCTTGGGTGGCACTTTCCAGCTCCTAATGGACGTTACAGCTGAAGGTGGAAGAGCGAGAGATGATTTCTGAGCTTCTCTTGGTCCCATACTTGACCCCACAGCCGCTT